AATATATAAACGCGTAATAATGGAAGGAACACGTTCTTGAACTTTAACTCATTCGCGTTTAATACGATCATTACAAACATATTCTTAATTCCGTACGAGTTTCATTCAAAAAAAAATATAAATTTAGTGACTTTCTACGTGATTATCAACGAAACAATTTCATATTTTTGTTTGCAGACAATTTTAATGTTATTTAAAAGAAAAACTTTTTTAAATTCTACAAAATTCTACCTATACTTTTTTTTGTAAAACCATAACCTTTTTTTCTATAAATTAATTGCAAAATATATTAATTGTTTTCATATGATTTAGAAGTTAAATTTACAACAAACACAATTTTGTTCAATATTTGTATAATCATAAGTTTTTTTCTATAAATTTATAAGAAAATTGATTGTAAAATCTTTATTTTCATGTGATTTAAAAGTCAAAATTTTACAACAAACATAATTTTGTTCAATATTTGTATAATCATAACTTTTTTTTCTATAAATTTATAAGAAAATTGATTATGAAATCTTTATTTTCATGTGATTTAGAAGTAAAAATTTTACAACAAACATAATTTTGTTCAATATTTGTATAATCATAAGTTTTTTTCTATAAATTTATAAGAAAATTGATTATGAAATCTTTATTGTCATGTGATTTAGAAGTAAAAATTTTACAACAAACACAATTTCGTTCAATATTTGTAAAATCTTAAGTTTTTTTTATAAATTTATTACAAAATTGACACTACAAAATCATTATTTTCACATGATTTACAATTCATAAAAAAATTAACAACAAACGCAATTTTATTGAAATACGTTTTATAAAGTTCTAAATGAATATAAAATTGTTTCTAAAATCGTAAGAATTATCAGTTGAATTCTGGTATTTAGATACAAAATTAAATTTGATCTCTTTGCGTCAACATTTTATATTTTTGTAACATATCAGTGATAAATTATGCGAATCGTCATTAAATATTGATTTCATTTTTATCCGTTCATTGCGGATATCAACATGTAATTTATAGCTTGACATGGAATTTATATTGACCGATAACACTTTGAAAACAGATATTTTTTTCATGGAAACTGTAAATTAATATACAGAATTAAGAACAAAAATAATAAATATACTCTTTTAATTGAAGTTCTTGAGGTTCTTGAATGGATTTATCTTATAGATACATCAGATAAAAAAAATAAGCAATTGTTGTTTAGTTTAAAGATGATCTAACATTGATGTCCTCTCGTAATTCTCTAGTAAAAACATCTCAAAACAAATAAATAAACTTGATAAAGTTTCTATCTTTATTTTTTATCAATTGTTAATAATTATTCATTTTTTTTATTAATTAAATAAAAAAATACAAACATTTAACGAATTTGATGTTTTCATTTACACTATATTGTAATTTAATTGTGGAGGTTTCAGTCAAGGTACTTCTTTTATTTTAGAGTGTATTTCGGGTCAAAATGACCCGTCCACAGCACATACGTTCTTGAAATTTCATGAATATTTAGATTTCAAATTGGAACATCTTTGGTTTCCCATATACCAAAACGAGGAAAAGCAGTAATTCTGATATCCAGTATGAACCAATATTTAATAATTGGGTCATTTTGACCCTTATGTAATTATTTATCCGTAGAAGTCACGGGTTATAAAAATCTATTAATCGAACTATTATATAACTATAACACATTCATTATAAGTTTTTTTTTGTTTGTTGTTAAGAATTAATCGATCGATCATGCGGTTTGTGCGCATTCAAATTCATTCCTTTCTATTGAAACGCTGAGAGTGAGAAAAAGAGAGATAAAGAAAAGAAGAAATGTTTGATGCATTAAATAAATGCAAATTTGCATATTTTCTGCTTGGCATGAAACCAACCTAGTACAAACCAGAAACAACTCAAAAATTATTTTATTTTTTGTTAAATATGACCATCAGAGCAGATAATTCGTTAACATGTTCCCTCTACTACTTTTCATTTTCGCAGCGGCAATTTACTATAACTTTACAATTATATAGATACATACAAAACTTTTCCTCCCTCATTCATTCCGTAATTCGTCAATGAAAAAAAAATGGATCGCTGTTATTTCGAAATCATTCTACTGTGACAGTTCTAACATTATAAAAGAAAATTACTGTTAATACTTTCTTGTGTTTAGAATTGTTTCTATTATTTAGAAAAAAAACAATCATTTGTTCTATTATTAATTAAATATGAACATTTTTTTTCGATATTTTCAAGAATCTCTTGTATTTTACAAGAATTCATTAATTTTATCCATTTTTTCTATAATTTAGTATTAATTGAATTGTTTTTTTTTTCAATAAGAAAATTACTGTTAATAATTCTTGTGCTTAGAATTGTTTCTATTTTTTAGAAGAAACCAATCATTTTTTTCTATTATTAATTAAATAGGAACATTTTTGATATTCTCAGGAATCTCTTGTATTTTACAAGATTTTGTTAATTTTGTCCTTTTTTTTCTCTATAATATCGTAATATTTGAATTGTTTTTTTTTCAAATAGAAAATTACTGTTAATAATTGTTTCTATTATATTGAAGAAACTAATCATTTTTTCCATTATTAATTAATATTTACATGTTTTTTAGATAATCTCATTAAATTCTTACATTTTTACAAAGAATTAATTGACTCCAAGTTTTATATAATTTGGCAATAATTGAGTAATTAATCAATAATTGTTATTTATATTTTTTCTACTATAAATATTGTAATTTACATATTTACATTATTTTTTTTTAGATATTTTCAAAAATTTCTTACATTTTTACAAAGAATTAATTCACTCCACGTTAACAATAATTTAAATGCTTTTATTTCAAAATAATTGTGATATTATAATACTTTGAAGAATCTCTTATAGTTTACAAAGAAGTAACATAAACTTTTACATCCATTTATACAGTAATTAACCAATAATTGAATAGTTGTAATTTCCATTTTTTTTACTGTCACTCCAAGTTTTCTATAATTTCACAATAATTTAATTGCATTTATTTAGAAATAGTTGTAATATAACAATACTAATAATAATCTCTTATATTTTACAAAGAATTAACATGAATTTTTACCTCTATTTATTCAGTTATTATCAATAATGGAATCGTTATTATTTCTAAATATTTCTACTGTAACTACTCAACATTTGTTTACATTTTTACAAAGAATTAATTTACTCCTTTTTTTTATAATTTATTAATAATTTAATTGCTTTTCTTTCAAAATCATTATAATTATACAATACTTTGAAGAATCTCTTATATTTCACAAATAAGTAACATGAACTTTTACATCTATTTATTCAGTAATTAAGCAATAGTTGCTATTTCTAAATGTTTCCACTATACTACTAACAAATTTCTTACATTTTTACAAAGAAGTAACTTTATACAGTAATTTATCGATAATTAAAGAGTTGTTAATTCTAAGTTTTGTACTGTAACTATTCAAATTTTATAAAATAAAATGACTTTAAATAATTTATATCATTTACTATGATTTTAAAAAATCAATTACATTTTACAAACAATAAACGAAAAACATCTTTGAATTAACTTTGACTACAATTATATAAATTATTTTGAAAATAAAATTTTAAAAAAATACAGATTCTTTATATTTCTGTAAACAAAAGTGCTTTAAATTACATAAATTATAAAAAAAAAACTTTTATATTTATTCGTACCAATTTCTTTATTATTTTGAAGAATCAATCAATTAAATCTGAAGTATTTATATTTATTTATATCAGTGGTTTCCAAACTTGATGTTACTTGATGTTTGGAAAACACTGCTTTATATTTCCAATAATCAGTTATAGTTTACAAACAATAATCAAAAACTTCAAAAGTTAATGTTTTTTTTTATTTCTGTGGACAAAAGTCTTACAATTTATATAAAATCTTATAAATTATAAAAGGATTTGTTTAAATTTCTATATCAAATTATATTTTTCAAGATTTAATTGTGAATAGTTTTCTTGTTTTCTAACGAATAGAAAAGTTATTCCAACGTGTAATTATTGAAGATTTTAAAGGTTAATCCTTGAACCGCGCAACAAATTGCAATAAAACGACTTTAAAGACACGATTTTATATAATATGTTTGTGCAAATCTGAAAATTATATAAGTCTTCAATGCACATTTCTTATTAATAAATTTCTTAAGAAATACATTGAAAATATAAAATAGATACTTTTATTTATATAACATTAATATAATTATCTAGATTGATAAATATAAAAAAAACTATAGATATTGAAATATTTATGAAAAAACTTACAAATTTCTAAAAAAATAATATATTTTGTTTAATCTTTTTAAAATGTGATGATTTTTCAAACTATTTAATACTTAATATGAATATACTGTATTTTGAGACGTTTGTGACTAATTTTCTTCAGATAATAAAAAAAATAACATAAAAATTTGTGAAATCTAAAACCTAAATAATCTTATGATTTTATAAATAATTTTATGAATAAACTTTTGTTTTTAAATGTTCTAACTTTATTAGAAAAAATGAAATTTGTTCACATAAAATTATTAATATCAAAAATCTAGGCTAGAATTAGATTTTCAAATCAATTTACAAAAATGTAATTAGTTTGATTCTTATATAATTATTAAAACTTTTGGTATTTCTTTTTAAACCAAAAAAAAAAAGTGTGTTAAGTGGAAGTGTTTGAAAACGGAAGAGAATTAATATTACACATTCCTCTATGAATAAAGCGAAAGAATGCGATGGAATGGAATAAAATGTAAAATAGGCGATTTGTCGTGGATTCGAAAGAGTTAGTTAACTGGTTGGTGGCAATCGAATTGCGGCAGCGACGAATGGCATAAGCTAATGCTGAGGCATTCCGCTTTCTATATCTTGGCCAGCGCAAAAGAAGTTCTTGCGGCAGGTGAACAACAACAACACAGTTAGTTAGTCCCAGTCTACCTTTCAACGTCCGTCAAGACGGTCGAATCGAAAAAAAAATAAATCAGTACTAAAATACATATAGAGAAAGAAAGACGGACGAAGAGAAGGAACGATTTTCAGTGAGCGGTTTACAACAATTTGGGTTTAAAACAATAAAAAAAAATAAGAAAATTATTACATTTAATTTAATAAAACCCAGTGCCGTATTTTGCATTCGAGCATCTTGGATATCGTGTTAACAGTGATGGAGTGATCTTACCATATTTCTGATTGGGATTTTAAGAAATACTCTTCAGTGGATGGATTTTTTTTGTTAGTTCGTAGTTCAGCGCTTTTTCAGTTCCACACACATGAGGGACATGCTGCAGCCTAGGAATATCTTTCTTCTGACTGCGGTCCTCCTCCTCATCGCTTCCATTCAAGGTATGACAATAAATTACAATATTAATACTTCACACATACTTCCAAACAGACATTTATTCTTTGCGAAATCATATCTATTAAATTTCAACAATTTGACTTACTTAACTTTCTTAATAAAACTCGAAAATATGATTTGATTGAGTTTGAATTCATACCTATAAAATGTAAAGATTTTTTTTTATATAAATTCAATTAATTAATACAAAAATTTCATAATAAAGTCTAAAAAATTCCAATTCAAAAATATCAATTATTTATTTTACTTATCTTTTTCAAAATACATCTGAAAAATAGATTTCCTTTTGTACAATATTTCATTTAAATTTGAAAATTCATCAATAAATTGTAAAAAAATATCAACAAATTCTCAATATAAAATGAATTAAATCTGCACTTTATTCGCGTTACTTACCTTCAAAATATGTCTCAAGAAATTGATTTCCTTCCTTGCAGCCTTGATGCAATTGCGCAAATGTCCTTTTCTTAAATTGATTTTATTTTATCCGCTTTCAATTACAAAATCTCAATTGCTTTCGATATAGAAATTCGAAAATAATAAATTTTATTAATTAATGTAATAAAACATGAATTACCTTAATAGAAATAATAAATTTTATATAATTATTACAATAAAATTATAATTAATAGTTCTAACAAATGATTAAAATATTTAATTAAAAATTTGAGTAATTTCAACAAAGTTTTAATAATTACACAAATATGTCATTTAAAAATAATTAAATTTAACAAATTCTTAAGTTTTTACATAAGACAATTATTGATAATAGAATGTAAAAAAATAATAATAAATTCAATATTTTTTGTTATTAAATTATCAATTATTAAATATTTGTCACTTTCCTTACGTTATTATTTAAATTATGCAAAATATTTCCAAATTATCGGATTTTTTTTAGTCTGTGAGATAAGCAATGCGATGATGCAATCATCATCATAAATCATCGGGTGTATTAGAGAAAGTGTGTTTTCGAGTCAAATGAAAATAATCCAAACTTCGATTCCGGTAACGAATTGAAACCGAAGATGACAAAATGCGAAGCGTCAGATTGCATTGGAGAAGAAGACCTTTTACATATATAAGATAGAAACAGATAAACTTTGTAGGATGAATAATTTATCTATACAATTATTATATAAGTGATGAGCAGCATTGGCAGGCAGCAGCAGCCTTCTAAAGAATCGGCATTTCCAAATGTCACGAGGTTGTATAACTTCTCTCTTCGCGCAGGATCTCCTCTCGCGAAACATCGAAGCCGGAATAAATTATGCAGACTGCGTACGTCGTTGAAGAAAAGTTAATTTATTAAAAAATACTGTTTTTACCTTACTCTTTGCCATTTCGGATCCATTGCCATTCTATTCCAGCATTCATCGGTATTCCATTAAAAAAAGAAGAAACAACTTATTGTGGTTTCAATTCCGAAGCGAATGCATCGTTATACAACATAATATCGTAACGCAATCAAATTAAAGAAGAAACGCAAACATCTTCAATAGTTTTACAACATCAACAATTATATTTTGATTGATCCAATAAAAAATTGACTAATTTGACAGCTGTCAATTATATTAGGTTATAATCTACTTTATCCAACTTACATGACTAAATCTGATCTATTTTTATGAATTTTCTACATTGACACCTGTCAATAGAATTAGGTTAAATTACTTTTACATGCCTTTAACTTGGATTATATTGCATTTGGCAAGTAACTAATAACAAGTATTATGAGAGAAAATTGTACTATGGTTACAAAATAGTGGACAAATCTTTGATAATGTTTATATGTCAAATTATGTTTTGTTGCTATTTTCTATTTTTTTTTTTAGTGGTTTGAAACCACAATGAACAGATCATAGTCGTCACTGAGGAGTGACATTTAAATGTCAATTAAATTCACAGTTTGTCGGTCAATAAATTGAAGCTGCTAAAATTGCGTTGGACTTCGATTTTTTGTTCAAGATTTTTCTCTTCGTTTCGGAATGAGTTCAGGCGAGTCGCGAACGTCGTAATCCAGTTCTGGTTTGCTCGATTTGTTTATTGCGACCGTCCTTGGTCACACCTCGAAACTATGCAGGAAACTTTTACTAATGTATAATGCAACCAATTCTGCCCACATTCCGCTCGACTTACACCATAATCTGCATGCTCACACTTCCAGACACGATTCCTATAGCTTCTGGCCATAAGCAGAAGAAAGAAAATTGCGGAAAACAACAAAATAGAGATCACCGCAGGCTTAAACAAACCCAAAAACAAAGAATCCGGATTTTCTAAATCCGGTTGTCCTTGAGTATTAATCAAATTTATGTAATTGGTCCAGTACAGATTTCTATTGGAATACTTTTTTTAAATTTCGTCTGAATTGGTTTTCTGTGTGCATCATCTGCGGACTCTCAGTTTTATTCGGTTCGGTATATACAGAAGTAAATAATTCATGAGCGACGATTTGCAGTTTAATTTACCGCAACCAATTTCCTCGTGTCGGTTATGTGCGGTCTTGAATAGATAAAGCAAACGCTCAGATTTCGATTTCTTTCGATGCATCATCTTCATTCTACCATCATTTTCTCTGGATGGATGGTGGAGAGTGGAGCAGATGTGATGGCGGTATAAAAAAAATAAATACTGCACCGAGGATAAACACCGTTTCCGGTCGTTGACCAAACGAAGAAAACGGTAGGAACTGGTCTCAGATGGTACAGATTAATTCGCAGTTTTCGTACGAAGAATCCAGTGCGGATAGAACGTTCATATAACGACCCTGCTTGTAAATTAGAGTATATAACCAGAATTGTTTCCGGTACTTATCTCCATGACAACTTATATAATAATACAAATTAGTCAGATGTCGTTTTTGTTATATCATATTTGGTTGGTATGGAAACTGATACTGGATGAGATATAACATTTCATGTTGATCCTATGTTGTTTTGATATATCGGTTGTTATGGAAACTGATACTGGATGAATATCATGTTTTGGTAGATAAGTTTTTATGGAAATTGACATCCTTTGGTACAGTATGTGAAAATACTAAATTATTTCTTTTCAAAGTTAAGCAACGTATCTTAAGGATAAAACGTGAATGGACTAATACTTAGTATTGATAACAACCCAAGTAATTGTTAACAAAACATTTGAATTTAAAGCTATTGATATATTGGTTATTATAGAAACTGAATTATCATTCATTGACATTACTACTTGATTTTTCTTTGAATTTTTTGTCTATTTTTAATTTCGACTTTCGAATTTTTGTTCGAGTTTCAAAAAAAATATATTAAAATTTTGTATACAATTGTAGTATGTATAACAAACTCGGTTGCATATGTAATTACATATCTTTACTTCACACTAGCACAACTACAATTAGTTTTTTGTATTGTTAGAATAAACGCGATACTTGACAAGTGACATATAGAAGCCTTTAATCAAAGTTGCGATTTGAATTGTCATTCATTGACATTACTACTTGAGTTTTCTTTGAATTTTTGTCTATTTCTTTAATTTGAATAATGAGGGATCACGTTTTTCCTTGTTCGACTTTCGAATTTTTGTTCGAGTTTAAAAAATTTCTTAAAATTTGAATACAATTAATTGTAGTACATGTTATACTTCATACTTGAACAACTGCAAGTAGTATTTCACAATGTTTTAATAAACGCGATACTTGACAAGGGACATGTAGAAGCTTTTAATCAAAGTTGCGATTTGAATTGTCAATCATGGACATTACTATTTGATTTTTATTTGAATTTTTGTCTATTTCTTTAATTTGAATAATGAGGGATCATGTATTTCCTTGTTCGACTTTCGAATTTTTGTTCGAGTTTCAAAAATTTCTTAAAATTTGAATACAAGTAATTGTAGTACATATTATACTTCAGACTAGAACAACTGTATGTAGTATTTCATATTTTTTTAATAAACGCAATACTTGAGAAGTGACAAGTAGAAGTCTTCAATCAAAGTTGCGTTCAATGAATTAAGCTGAGAAATGCGAAAATTGCGACACTCGATTTAAATGGAATTGAAGTTGACTTGGGTAAAACTGAAATTACTTTCGGTTAATTGCGTTTTCTCGATCGATGCATTTCAGAGTGCAAACTAATTACGAAGAGAAAGATTATTCAAAGCAAAAGGCGAGTTCTTGTTAACACGCCGTGTTTAACAGGCAGATGTGGGCGCGGTTTTGTGCTCGTTCCGTGGCTCACATAGACCTCACTTGTTTTTTTTATTTCCTTCTCACTTCTTCGGATATTTGTTTGTCGAGATTAAAGTATTTCAAAAAGTTTCGATGAGATTTGGGTCAATCGGGAAAGGATTGGAAGAGAAAAAGTGTGTCTGTGCGAATAGAAAAACCGTTATTGTCTTACCGAGTCGATGTGGAGGAAGTCTTCGATATATACGTATATAGTATGTATGTATATATATATTTTTTTGGTAACTGTTACGATCGTGGCCCGGGGGCCACACCACATGCAAAAGAAGCGTGGATTGGCCTCGAAACGTGAAATTCTGTTTTATACGAAAAGAAAATAATATTGGTCTGCGTTTATAACTAGTTTTCAAGTGTAGAAATTAGTACTTACGTTGTTCCAAGTTTTTTTTTTATGTTTTTATTTATTGTAGAAAATTCTTTATGCTTTCGAATTCTGTTTTACTACCCATGAAAGTAGTTGTCCCTCTTTGTATCTGTATAAAACTTGAATCAACTACACGCAAATTCAGTTTCATAAACAATTAACGTATTTTTTTTTGTTAAATTTAACTAGTAACATGTAGAGAAATAATATTTAAACTCACTTATTTTACTAATTAAAATTTCCAATTTATAACTGTTAATCAAAATAGAAACACTTATCGATTTAGGTTTTCCCAAAACTTTTTTTTTCTTCAAATATTAAAAGTTTTTATATCTAAAATTGTGCAAGTAAAAAAATGTAAAAAAATTAATGAATGAACATTATAAAGA